CTCCCTGGCATCATCATTGCCAATTGACATTTTTCTTAACTAGATATTTGTACCTATGTTCAGAGGTAACTAATCTAAATTTCTAAATGAACCTAGTCTTCACACTCCAATACATTATTGGTAAAATTAACTTGTATATAATTTGACAAAGCTTTTTAAGGTGAGTATTTGTCCATACTTTGAATCTGAGAGTTAATCAGTGATCAAATCCTTACCTTACATGGTAGGATGGTACCATGGTATTTTGGCATCTTGCTTACTTTATAAGAACCTAGTTGTTCCTATTTTACTTTCCAATGAAGCAACACATAATTTTCTAAACTCCCCATCAAGTAAACAGTAAAACATCAGGACAATTTCTGAATCTCAAAATTTATCCACATGCATATTCTTACATTTTTATAAAAGTATCTCTGAAACAATTGTGCACAGGATCCATTGTTTTCCAATTTGATAATTTTCTGCTTTAACACACTCACACACACACACACACACACACAGACACTCAAACATAACACACACACCACGTGTTTTTCTCCTTACATTTTCTTGACCGCCCTCTAAGAACAGACTTCTTAATAGGATATCTGCTATTTTCTGTGTTGAACAGATTGCAAAATTTGCAGATGCTAATATGCATGACTGACCACCAGCAATGGGGTCTGACTCTGGATGGGCGGGCATGAGTGTGTGTGGACTTGAGCGTGTGGTAGAACGTGCTCTGGGCTTGGCAACAGGAAAGGCTCTGACTCCATTCCTCGCTCAGCGCTTGATCTTAGATTCCAAAGAGCTAATGAAATACAAATGAGTGCAATTTGTAGAACATACCTGAGGGAAAATAAGTTATTCATGAAGGGGCTGCTGGGGAATGTAAGATGAAGAGATTAGATGTGATTAAGCAAGGTTGGCTACCCAGTGTCTCATCTACGCAGAAGACTTGGGAAAATGAAGGGCATTTTTAGAAGAGAGAATCTTCTAAAAACTGGGATATGTCTGGGAGAAAGACTTTTTCTCCTTTTACTTTCACTGCTAATCCGCTTCCTTAGAAAGCTGGGGAACACACACACCCTGGCTCAGTGACTGACAGGGTCGTCATGAAACACAAGTTAGACTTAAGCATCGCACTGAAGCCTGTGGTCTGTCTACTCTGCCCCTGTGATTTCTGCAACTGCCAGGCTGGGGGATGAGCACCTGACTGAGGTGGAAGGTCAGCGGGCCCCCCGCTGCTGCTCTTCACTCCCGTACCCAGGTACCCTCTCACCTTTCCCTGTTCAAACAATCTGTTCTCCTTCCTGCACCACTTCTCCAGATTGGTTGAGTCCACATATCAGTCAAAGGCATTGAGAGGAAAAAGAAGGGGGCGGATTGTTCTAGATTCCAGGGGAACAGAGTACTTTCCCTTTGGCGCAGCTCACCCCTGTGTCTTTCTGCCCCTGTCTGTCAGCGTTATTCTGGTCTCTTCTGCTCCCCATTGTGGAAGGCAGGGATGCCAGGCCCACTGCGGCAGAACTCAGTCGTGGAAACCCTGTCAGCTTCTCATGGGCTTGAGCTCTACTCTCCTGGGCTCCTTTGGGTCCTGCTGGGTGGAGGGAGCCACCACATGTTCCCTCTAACCTGACCCCTCGAGGGAGTTTGCTCTGTGACCTCTCCAGGTACACAAGTCATGGAGAGCAGCAGAACTGCGCATATGCCCTCCGGGGGCCCAGCTTTCCTGAAAAGATTGGAGCTGTTTTTAAGAGTCTTTACAAAGGGTCAGGAAAAGATAAAACTTGCAAGCTGACCATAGGCATGAGGCACACAGCAGGGGAGTGGCAGGGAGGGGGTCAAAACAGGGGAGGAAAGAGCCCAAAGGCAGTGGTGACGGATCACAGGGCTATGGTGTGGGAGAACTTGGGGGGCCACGCCTGAGGGGAGACATCAAGTACTGTCCAAAAATGAACAATGATGCAAAAAATAAATAATCAAAACCCACCACCAACAAAGTAACAACACGTCTAGGGTTTCCTCAACTGTGGATAATCAAATGTGGTGGACAGTGCATGTGCATTTGTGTGTGTGTGTGTATGTGTGTGTGTATATGTGTGTGTGTATGTGTGTGTGTGTGTGGTATGTGTTGAATAGGAGATGTTGCAGTTTGGATCTTTGGGTAGTTGACTTTGAGATTAGCACCAGGATGTCTGATGGGGAAGGCTCCTGGGTTCAACACCTGTGGGATGGGAGAGAAGGAAGAAGAGCTGGGCAGAGGCGAAGTTGGGGTGTGATAGTGTGATAGTCTCAGCTGATCCTACTGCGAGCTCTCAAGTGAGAATTTCTTTATGCCCACCCCACGCCCCCACCACCATTGATCACTGGGTGGGGATGTCCCTGAGAGGAAGTATGTTCTTGGTGAAGCAGTTTCCCTAGTCAAGACCACCCCCAAAGCAAGCTTACAGTGCAGGTCTACCTCCCAGGTCAAACTGATGAGCTGCAGTGTAGACACTATCCACTTTGGCCCGCATGCACACAGTGAGCTGGCCCACCCACCTGACACCTTGATGCCTGACTCCAAGAGGAGGGAAACTCCACTGTCAGCTGTTGCGGGAAATGTTCTCAGCATTCACAGCAATCTGATCCTCCCCTTACATCACTGGATTCTTAAAAATAATCCTGATGTGGAAGGTCTCCTACATCTTTGCAGTATTGATCAGAAGTACTGATTTTATATTACTGATTTCAGAAGTGCATGTGTACTGAGAAGACTAAGCTTCCTAATGACATTTGGGCTGTCTGTTCCAACCACCATGTTGACATCGTTACCGTGGACCAGCATGATGTTCTGTGGATGTCCAGATTATCAGTATATTTTCAACTATTACAACAGAATTCAAGAGCCAGTTGGAAAATCCATCATGGCCCACTGTCCAGTCGATGGGCACGCAAGCTGTCTGACCCTTGTACATGACTGAAGTGGGAAGAGTGTGCTCATCAGCTCCATGGTGGCCGACCACGTATTAGGGCCATAGTGACGTCTGCAACAAATATGGCGAATCTGGCAGGATGCCCACACTGAGGCTACCGCTTGTGTGGCCTGGCAGTAATACGCTGTCATCCTCCAGGATGTCTTGTTTTTGCGGGGACTAGACTATGAGATGGGAGCATCCACCCAGGCTGTGGAGCAGCCTCCACAGGACTGAATCAGAGAACTCTCCAGCTGATGGGGCCACCAGTTCAGCTCTGGGTGCTCTGAGCTGCAGGCTGCATAGATCTCTGCTGGGATGCAGCTGGGAGGAGGGGCGTTCTGCCAAGATCTGAGCTGGGTGCAGTAAGCCCTACCTTCCAGCTCCATTTTTATCTGCTCCTCATTGTCAAGCCTCATAGAATTTCCTAGGGAGCCCTGTAGGTGAGACCAAAGAGGGCCTCCTAGATAGTTCCTCACTAGCTTGGGGGGGGGGTCTGGATGTCTGGGACCATTTCATCCACTGGAGAAAAAATGGAGAGAGCTGGGTGCTTTTGGGGTGGCACAGACCAGCTGGGGAACAACCACAGGTCAGAGTGGAGTTTCTCCCCATCCTTCTCATGTGGTTCTTCTCAGTCTTCTGTGCCAGGAGGATCCTTCAGCTTCACCTCCGGCTTCTTGTTTACTCTGCAGCCTTTGACTGAGCAACCTCCACAATTACGAGACACTTCCTTAAAATAGGTGTCTCTCTACAATCCCGCACCTGAAAGGTGCCATTTCCCTGAGAACTTGACTGATACATTTACCATGAACTTAACTGACCTACACACTTCCTCCCCCAATATCGCTCAGCTTAGAACTGGTGATGCAGGCCCCTGACTCAGTCCTGTCCAATGACAGAGGCCCTCAGCATGTTCCTGGATAGGTAAGGCATCACCTCACCTCAGAGGATTTCTAGTCCTGATCTTCACGCTTGGAATACTTCTCTCCAGATATCCCCATGACTTGCTACCTGTCATCTCTAACATGTGTATGTTATCCTTCCAATAAACTGGACTATGTGATGTTAACTGTAACATATAAATATCACACAATGTATCAAAATAAATAAGCAACTATAAACCAGAGCACACTACTGGGGGGGGGGCAGGGAGGGGAGGGGTTAGGGTCAAAATAAGGGGGGCAGAACCGTATAGGGAATATAACCAAAAAGAAAATGCATACATTGTGCAAAAATGAAAAATGATGTAAGAATTATATAAAATAAAATATATTAATCAAAAAATTACAAACTCCACCCCAGTACTTTTGCTTCCCCTTTTTATGCTTCCTTTAATCATAGTAGATTTTACCAACAAATCAAAGTAGAATTTACTTATTTATTTCAGAACAAACACCCATGTCCCACAGACCTCATAGTCTTATAGTTAAAAAGAAATAAAAACTACTAAGGAAAATAGCATCATGAGTGGGATCAGGAATTCTGGAATGTGAACTCCACATGATGACGGAGTTGGGTTCTTCTTTCTCTAAACTTGTATTTTCAGAACTGAGAGAAGCCTGGAGTGTAGCACTCATCAGTCAGTACTTTTCTGTGCATGAATCATGAATTCATGCACTTCACTGTTCTCTATCAAAAGTGTGTTCTCTTGTTTGGAAACAAGACAATGGTCAGACTTAAATTAATCTCACCGATGTAGGCTGTTCTCACCACCAAAAATCTAATGTTCTTCTTTTAAAAGGAAGCAGAAAAATCTGCTATCATGTTTTCTTTTCGATAGAATGTGTTTTGTATTTTAGCAAGTGATCCAGCTCTCGTCAGAAAGGTAAGACAAAAGTGTGGCCACATACCTGAGTAATAAAGGTGTTCAGTGCTTTGAAAACTACAAAAATGAATGTGTTCTGGGCAATGGCATATTTAGGGTTACAGAAGAATAAATGTCCAACAAATATGATGAAGTGAAAAGGATTTGGTCCAGTAAATGACTGCCATCTTAAAGACACCAATTTTTTTAGAAGGCATCTTGACAGTCAGTGGTGAAATAAAAGCATGACCAGGTGATTCTCACCTGACAAAAGGGACATCTTTTCTGAAAAGAAACCTAAAAGCCAATTTGATGTCTCTGTTCCGTAGGCTGTAGATGAAGGGGTTCAGCATGGGGGTCACCACTGTGTACATCAGGGAGGCAATCATGTCTTTGTCATTAGAGTTGCTTGAAGAGGGGGCAAAGTAGACCGCCATGATTGTTCCATAGAAGAGACACACCACAGAGAGGTGGGAGCCACAGGTGGAGAAGACTTTGGTGATGCCTTTGGTAGAGGGGACCCTCAGGATGGAAGCCCCAATGCAGCCATAAGAGACCAGGATGCCACTCAATGGAAAAATGACTGTTGCAGCCCCTTCAGTAAATATCACCAAATCATTGAGAGAGGTGTTTGAGCAGGACAGTTTGAGTAGGACAGAGAGACTACAGAAAAAGTGCGGGATAATGTTGTCAGCACAGAAGGACAAACCCACCAGGAGGACAGTGTGCAAGAGGGCACTGCCACAGGAGATGACCCAGGAGCCCACCACCAGCAGCAGGCACAGTTCTTCCCTCATCATGATGGTGTAGTGGAGGGGGTGACATATGGCCACATACCTGTCATAGGCCATCACTGCAAGAAGGAGATTGTCTACACACCCAAAAACCAAATAAAAATACACCTGTGAGATACACCCTGGATAGGAGATTGACAGGTCCTGAGTGTGCATGTTCCACAGCATCTTAGGGACAGTGACAGTTGAGAAGGAGACGTCAGTGAGAGCCAAGTGGCTGAGGAAGAAGTACATGGGGGTGTGGAGGCGCGAGTCCAGCCTGATGAGCAGGATGATGAGCAGGTTCCCCAGCACCGTGGTCAGGTACATGCCCAGGAACAGGGCGAAGAACAGGCCCCGCTGCTCTGGACGGATGGGGAGCCCCAGGAGGAGGAACTCGGACACGCTGCTCTGGTTCTCCCAACACATGTTGCTTTACTGTCTTCTGGGGTAGAGGGAAGTAGGAGATGTGAGGATCTTAGAAACAGTGACATAGCAGTGAAAGATGGTCACATAGTGTGTGAGTGATGGTATCTCTGCAGACACACCATGATGCTCTCTCACCTGCTGGGGCCTCGTCCAGTCTGGGGAGAGCTGGGCAGCGGGCTTTCCTGGACACTGACCTCAAGGCCTTTGACATTAATCAGGATTAGTATATCTTTTTAAGAAGTGTAGATGCTAATTTAGGCGCTCAAGAGAGTGAGTGGTAAATAAGCCACAGTCCTTTGGGGTGTCCATTTTTCAGGGCATGTCCTCACAGAACAGTGATGAAGAACAGGAATCTCAATCTCACTCATAAGCTTTGTCTGACTTTTACTATTCTGTTAGTAAGTCCCCCCCTCCCTCTTCCTTACACATGCACACCATTTGCAGAATTATTAGGGAATTAAAAAAATTCTAAGTATAAAATAAGTGTTCAACACATAGAATCAGATCACATCATTAGAATAACTATTAAGAAACCAAGATAACAGTGAGAATGTGGAGAAACTGACACCTTTGTGCATTGCTACTGAGAGCGTAAAAATGTACAGTCGCTATTTAAAACATGGAAGTTTTTAGAAAAATTAAATGCAGAATTACCACGATTCAAAAATTAAAATTAAAAACATGGTCTCAAAAAGATATCTGTGCACCATGTTCAGAGCAGTGCTGAATAGCAAGCGCCCAAGGCAGAAGCAAATCGGTCTATTGACACCTAAAAGGATAAACCAGATTTGGCATCTGAACACAGAGTAATATGACTCAGCCTTAAAAAGGCGCAAATCCTGGCACATGCAACAGTAGGGGTGACCCTTGATGACTTTATGCTACATGAGAAAGGCAGTCACAGGAGGATAAACATTGCATATTTTCACTTTATGAGGTTTTTAATGCAGCCTAACCCATAGAGACAAATTATGGGATGGTGCTTGCCGGCGACTGGGCAGAAGGAGGGTGTAATGGGCAAAAGTTTCAGTTTGGAAAGTGGATAAAAGTTCTGGAAATGCACGAGGTGATGGTTGCACAACAGTGTAAATGGACTTAATGCTACTGAACTCAACTTAAAAATGCTTAAAATGGTAAAATGTAATAATTATAATATTGGTGTATTACATCCATATTATATAATACTGATGTAGAAAATATATCAAGAGACATTAAATTGCTGATGAAAACCAACTGTTAAAACAGTGAATGAAACACAAAAAGAAAGCTCGTTATTTTGGCAGCATGAGCATGAACTACACATGTCAGCAATTAAAGGTCCGAGAAGCCAAGAGACACAGTCAGGTGTCCACCTGAAATGTGGGTTTACCTCTGTGGACCACTCCCATGTCCAGGGGAACAAGAGGAGCCCACATCAAGATCCCCAGCGATCAGAGCATCCCCAGCACTTGACTGCTGCCTTGTAGACAAATGTATCAAAAATAACTTTTTCTTTAATCCGCCATTCCTCGTTCTCATTTTTGCATCATAGCTGGGCAGTCTCAGGGAATTATTTTTAATTTATTATAATTGATATGGTCACATACGTCACAGTGTGTGAGTCAGACACCCACTGAATAACTTGGACATATAAGCTACACAAACACATTCTCTCTCTCTCTCAATCTCACCAAAGGTCATATCTACACCAGTGATGATTCCTCACCTTTCTCTGAACTGTGACAATTCTTGCTCATCTTAGCTCCTACATGAATCCTGCTTCTTATGCTTCCGTGGTCTAAGGATCTTTTGCACCTTCCATGTCTATTCACAAGCACCACACAATGGGCAGGAAGATCCACATTTACCAACACAAATCACACCCAGGGGAACACAACCCCAAGCCTCTGGTTACATGGAAGCCCACAGAGCTAATTGCCCAATCTCTTGCCTTCCCTTGAGATGATCCTGTGCAGGGGCCAAAGGGACTGAACTCTGGCATCCCAGGGGGAGGTGTCCCTAATGTCAGTGACATGCTCCCTCCCTCTGCCTGTCATGAGGAGGAGGAGAGGTTGTGAACACCCTTGACCCCTGAAGAGCCCAGCAACAGAACAGGCCTCTCCACACATCCCAGAATGGCCCAGACAGGGTAGTACCAGCCCATGTAGACCCATACCAGGCACCCCAACCTCCAGGACAGCACACTCTCTACTGGCCCCCCAGCCTCCAGGGCTTCCAACTCTCTTGAGAGGCCTGCAGAGCAGGAGCTGAGGTTGATTCAACTGAAAGCCATTGAATTGAGCACTTCAAAAAGGTGAAATATGTGTTACTGTATCTCAGTAAAGATAGTAATGGGAAAAGAAAACCAAAGAAACAGAACCAATAAAGGATAACAACAAATATTGTAAAAAAGTCAGTAAGTGACAAGTCTTTAACAAAATAGACCACGAGATAAAATGATCATAATCCCAGAAAAGTGGTAAATACCAAAATGAAAACAAAAACAAATAGAATATCTGAAAACACCTATAAAAACAAAAGAGGTTGAATCAATAATTAAATTTCCCAAATGAATAGAGTGAGTTCAAGCAGATTCATTGGAAATTTCATCAAATATTTAAAGAAGAAATTACATAAAACTTCACTTTTTTTTCCACAAAAGGAAGAAGAAAGATGTAATTCCTAAGTCATTCTTGAAACCCTACTGTTTCTCAAACTTCTGACATATTCATCAGCATGGAAAAGCAATCTGAAATATGTGTGCACTTAATAATAGAGCTTCAAATATTTATTTAAATGAAAAACTCATAGAACTTCAAGATAATAGATGAATTCACAGTCACACTCATCTGGAGTTGCAACACTCCCCTCAATACCTGAGAGAACAAGCAGACAGAACATCATGAGGATAAGAAGACCTGAATACCACTAGCTACTAAGTTAAGCTGTTAAACTACAAAGTCTACCAATGACATTTATAGAACACACTGACCCCCCCAACAGCAGCTGCTTTACAAATGCTCGCTGCCCTTCTGTTTTGGGTACTGCAAGTGAGGCACTTGGAGGTTATCACTCTGTATCCCCAAAATTATTCTTCGACAGTGAAAGGGAAGTAAAGACTTTCTCTGTCAACCAAATACTGAAGGAAACTGTTGGCAACATCAGCCTCATCAGAAGTGTTAGATGTTCTTTAGAAGCAAGGAAGGTAATAGAGTTCAGAAACTGAGTCTAACTAAAAATGAAGCTTTGGAGAAGGAACAAGTAAAGGTAAATGAAGCACTTATATATTTTTATTCTCAGTGCTCTAAAAGATAATTTTATCCTAAATAGAACAGTAACAATAACTCAATTATACTTATGTACGTATTTTATGTATTACTATATATATATGTATGCTTATGTATGCTTTGAACATTGAAATGAACAATAGCAGTGATATCATGAATGAAAAGAAGGAATGAGAATTACTTAGTTATTATTAGGAAGATTCACCATAATCTGTTATAAAACAGATCTCAATACATTTAGAAGTATTTAAATCACATCAGATATGCTTACTAAGCACAAGGCAAATAGTTGGACATCAATGATATTAAGATAGTTAGGAAAGGTGTAAGTATTTGGTAACAAATAACACAATTACAAATAGCATTTTAGCCAAGCAGGAAATAAAAAGGAAATAAGAAACTAGTTTTAAATGAATGAAAATGAAAACATAACATATAAACTGTGGAGTTCCCCTAAAATAATACAGACAAGAATTTTTTATCACTTAAACTAAAATTGCTAGGAGAAATTGTTTTGTTTTTTTCTCTTGTTTCCTGAGAACTGAGAAAATGGCCTGGCACATAGTGAGCATGCAGTCAGTAATCCTGTTGTACAAATTATGAATTTGTGCATTTATTAGAAGTGGATATTTTCAGACTGGAAACAACCACAATTTTTTCCAAACTTGCATCAAACAGAGGATATTGGATATTCTCAATAAAAAAATCCAACTTTTCTCTTCAAATGGAAGTCTGAAACCTGGTGTTTTATTCTGAGAGGTGGTGATGTGCTTTGTTATCTAGCAAGGACTCATCTCCTCCAGGAACAGAGACAACAGTGCAGCTGTCACGCGTGGTCAGCCCCACCGCCGAGGTTAGGAGCTCGGGAGTTTGAAAAACAAAAATATCAGTGTGTGTTTTGGGCAATTCCATAGTTAAGGTTGTGGAAGAATAGATGGGTGATAAATATGACTAAGTGGGGAGAGACAGATCCAGTAACATGACCCCCCTTTCAAGAGTACCTGGAGGGGCTGGGACATGGGGGACAGCACACAAGTTATGGGGCAGATCTTGACAAGGTCAGTCATGGAAGAGCATGATCAGGTGATTCTCACTGGGAAAAAAGGACATCTTTTCTGCAAAGGACCCTCATAGCCAGTTTGATGTCTCTGTTCCTTAGGCTGTAGATGAAGGGGTTCAGCATGGGGGTCACCACTGTGTACATCAGGGAAGCAATCATGTCTTTGTCATTGGAGTTGCTTGATGAAGGGGAAAAGAACTCAATCATAATTGTTCCATAAAAGAGAAACACCACAGAGAGATGGGAGCCACAGGTGGAGAAGACTTTGGTGATGCCTTTGGTAGAGGGGACCCTCAGGATGGAAGCCCCAATGCAGCCATAAGAGACCAGGATGCCACTCAATGGAATGATGACAAACACAGCCCCAGAAATGAATATAACCAAGTCATTGACAGAGGTGTTTGAGCAGGACAGCTTGACCAGGATGGGGAGACTACAGAAAAAGTGGGGGATGATGTTGTCAGCACAGAAGGACAGCTCAGTCAGGAGAACAGTGTGGGACAAGGCACTGCCACAGGAGATGACCCAGGAGCCCGCCACCAGCAGCAGGCACAGCTCCTCCCTCATCATGATGGTGTAGTGGAGGGGGTGACAGATGGCCACATACCTGTCATAGGCCATCACCGTGAGAAGCAGGTTATCCAAACAACCACAAACCAAATAAAAATACATCTGTGAGATACACCCTGGATAGGAGATTGACAAGTCCTGAGTCTGCATGTTCCACAGCATCTTAGGGACAGTGACAGTTGAGAAGGACACATCATTGAAGGCCAAGTGGCTGAGGAAGAAGTACATGGGGGTGTGGAGGCGCGAGTCCAGCCTGATGAGCAGGATGATGAGCAGGTTCCCCAGCACCGTGGTCAGGTACATGCCCAGGAACAGGGCGAAGAACAGGCCCTGCTGCTCTGGACGGATGGGGAGCCCCAGGAGGAGGAACTCGGACACACTGCTCTGGTTCTCCCACCTCATGCTGCTTTACTGTCTTCTGGGGTAGAGGGAAGTAGGAAATGTGAGGATCTTAGAAACTGTGACATAGCAGGGACAGATGGTCACATAGTTTGTGAGTAAAGGTGTCTGTGCAGACACACCCCGATGCTCTCACCTGCTGGGGCCTCATCCAGCCTGGACACTGATGCTGTCACGTGAACAAATATGTGACCCAAAGCCTCTCAATGCTAATTAGGGTTAGTGCATCTTTTTTAACAAGTGTAGATGCTGAGTTAGGCGCTAGAGAGAGAGTAGTAAATAAGCCACCGCCCTTCCTTTGGGGAGTCCATTTTTCAGGGTGCAGTCTCACAGAGTAGTGATTACAAGCATTTTAAATTATAATTCATGAGTTATTCACGTTAAGCATTATACAAACAAGCAATGAAGGGAAATTTTAGAAGGTGAGGGCTGTGAGTCCTTCCTTTTGAGATGGTCTCACGTGTGTCTGTATTTATCCAAACTCATCAAAATGTATCTATTCAGTAGCTTTAGTTTTATGAATATTAATTACACTACAATAAAGTTGCTTGAAAAAACACAAAATCGCCACAAGTAGTTGGCCAGACAACTCCCAAACCACACACAGCCAAACAAGCTCTACGGTGCACACGGACAGTCACGTCAGATACAACACACAGTTACCATGAAGAGGTGCAGCACGAGCACAGCAACACAGGCGCCCGTGGCATGCAAGCCAGTCTAGCCCCCCGGTCTAGATCAGTGTGGAAGGTGCTCACATGATGGGAAACACTCCTGTGTGTCCCGACCATGGCAGCACAGACTCCGGTGACCCCTGAGGACCTGAAGTGCAGCTCGTGCGGGTGAAGCTGGTGCCTCAGTTTTAGTTCTTTCTACTTGATTATAATGATATGGCTGCGTGTGTGTAATAGGGCGTGTGTGAGTCAGACCCACTAAAACACTTGGCTCTACAAGCTACATGAACTCATCTCTAGTTCTTATTGAATACTCCTCTCGCCACATGATGATCCCCACCTTGCTCTGATCTGTGACAACTCATCCTCATCTTGGCTGCTGAACCCGATCTCTTATGCCTCTGTGGTCTAAGGATCTTTTGCACCTTCCATACCCGTTCACAAGCACTGCACAAGGAGCAGGAAGATCTACATTTACCAACACAAATCACACCCTGGGGAACACAACCCCAAGCCTCTGTTTACATGGAAGCCCACAGAGCAAATTGCCCAATCTCTTGCCTTCCCCTTGAGATGATCCCATGCAGGGGCCAAAGGGACTGAACTCTGGCATCCCAGGGGGAGGTGTCCCTAATGTCAGTGACATGCTCCCTCCCTCTGCCTGTCATGAGGAGGAGGAGAGGTTGTGAACACCCTTGACCCCTGAAGAGCCCAGCAATGGAACGGGCCTCTCCACACATCCCAGAATGGCCCAGACAGAGTAATACCAGCCTGTGTAGACCCACACCAGGTACCCCAACCTTCAGGACAGCTCGCTTTCCACCAGCACATTCTCCACCCAGGCTCGGGGTTCTCTTCTCCCTTGAGAGGCCTGCAGAGCAGGAGCTGAGGTTGATTCAACTGAAAGCCATTGAACTGAGTGGCATGTATCTCAGTAAAGATGGAAATGGAAAAAGAAAACCAAAGAAACAGACCTAATATGGGATAACAACAAGTATTGTAAGTGACAAAAAAAAAAAAACCAAGTCAGTAGGTGACAAATCTTTAGTTGGATTGACCAAAAAAGACAACAAGGCAAAAATTATCCAGATGAAGAATGAGAAACGGGCATCACCACCATCCTTATAAGGTTAATGAGAATAAAAGGAAATTCAGGGAATAATATACATTAACAAAATAGACTTCTAGATAAAATGATCACACTCCCAGAAAAGTGGTTCATTACCAAAATGAAAACAAAAACAAATAGAATATCTGAAAACACCTATAAAAACGAAAGAGGTTGAATCAATAATTAAATTTCCCAAATGAATAGACTAAGTTCAAGCAGATTCATGGGAAATTCCATCAAATACTTAAAGAAGAAATTACATAAAACTTCACTTTTTTTTCACAAAAGGAAGAAGAAAGACGTAATTCCTGAGTCATTCTCGAAACCCTACTGTTTCTCAAACTTCTGACATATTCATCAGCATGGTAAAGCAATCTGAAATATGTGTGCACTTAATAACAGAGCTTCAAATATTTAAATCAAAAACTCATAGAACTTCAAGATAATAGATGAATTTACAATCACACTCATCTGGAGTTGCAACACTCCCCTCAATACCTGAGCGAACAAGAAGCCAGAACATCATGAGGATAAGAAGACTTGAATACCACTAGCTACTAAGTTCAGCTGTTAAACTACAAAGTCTACCAATGACATTTATAGAACACACTGACCCCCCCACAGCAGCAGCTTTACAAATGCTCGCTGCCCTTCTGTTTTGGGGGCTGCAAGTGAGGCACTTGGAAGTCATCCCTCTACCCTCCCAAATTATTCTTCAACAGTGAAAGGGAAGTAAAGACTTTCTCTGTCAACCAAATATTGAAGGAAACTGCTGGCAACATCAGCCTCATCAGAAATGTTAGAAGTTCTTTCGAGGCAAGGAAGGTAATAGAGTTCAGAAACTGAGTCTAACTAAAAATGAAGCTTTGGAGAAGGAACAAGAAAAGGTAATAGAAAGCATTATTTATTTATTTATCTATTTATTTACGTCACTTAGATTTCAGGGTTTATTACAATAGTTTGGCAAGTACTATCTTTTCCAATTTTTTAAAAATAAATTTATTTATTTTCTTACATCATGGTTCAGTTTGGGACAGTATATGATTTCTATCCTCGGTGTAGTTCCCTGGAGTTCTCCTACCACCATGCCTTTTGTGATCCATCCCCACTGTCCCTTGTGCTCTTCACTCCCCTGTTTTCACCCCTTTACCACCCACCCCCTGCTGTATGTCTCAGAGGTATGGTCAGCTTGGGACTTATGAAACTTTTTCCTGAATCCTTTGTCCATTTTCTCTAGATTCCACACACATGTGAAACCATCCAATATGTATCTTTCTCCTTCGATCTTCCACTGAGTACCACCTACCGTCAGGAAAAGGTCCATCAAAACCACAATGAGATACCACCTTACACCATTGGGAATGACATTTAATTTTATTCTTCGTCGCTCTAAAAGATAATTTTATCCTAAACATAACAATGACTGAAAATATCTTTATTTCACCTTCAATTTTTGAAGGCTATATTTACTTATAGAGTTGTCTTAGTTTGGGAAAATTAAATTTTTTTTTTTTTTTTTTTACAAAAGATGCCATTCCTTTGTCTTCTGATTTCCTTCAACCATTTGCTGCTGCTATTATATAAAAGTCAACTCTAATCCTTATGGTTTGTTGGGAAGCTTGTGTGTATATAGTTACTACATATTCTTTTTTTTTTTTTAAATAAATTTTATTGTTATATTCCCCATACAATTGCAGCCCCCCCATTCTGACCCCAATCCCTCCCCTCCCCCCCCCCCCCCCCTAAAAGTGTCTCTGGTTCATAGTTTTTTGTTGATTTTGATTTTCACTTTCTTATAGTTATTCATTTTCCTGGTCCCTTATTTAAGTTTTCTAGATTCCTGCTATGAGTGAGACCATCCGGTATTTTTCTTTTTCTTTTTGGCTTATTTCGCTGAGCATGATCCCTTCCAGCGCCATCCATGTTGCTGCAAATTGCATGTGTTTATCTTTTTTGAATGCTGAGTAATATTCCATGGTATATATGTACCACATCTTCTTGATCCAGTCATCTATTTTTGGGCATTTGGGTTGTTTCCAAAGCTTAGCTATTGTAAACAGTGCTGCTATAAACATAGGGGTGCAGGTGTTCTTTGGAATTGATGTTTCTGTGTCCTTTGGGTAAATACCTAGGAGTGGAATTGCTGGATCATATGGAAGCTCTATGTTTAGTAGGTCCAGAAATCTCCATACAGCTTTCCACAGTGGTTGGACCAGTTTGCACTCCCACCAACAGTGCAGAAGAGTTCCTTTTTCTCCACACCCTCGCCAACATTTGTTGTTGCTAGTTTTTTTAATATGTGCCATTCTCACTGGTGTAAGATGGTATCTCATGGTAGTTTTGATTTGCATTTCCCTGATGACAAGTGATGTTGAACATTTTTTCATATGCCTGTTGGCCATTTGCATTTCCTCTTCAGAGATGTTTCTTTTAAGCTCTTCTGCCCATTTTTTGACTGGATTATTTTCTTTGTTGTTGCTGAGTCTCATCAGCTCTTTGCAGATTTTTGTGATCAGTCCTTTATCATTAGTGTTGGGTGCAAAAATGTTCTCCCAGTTGGTGGGGTTTCTCTTTGTTTTTGTTATTGTCTCTTTTGCTGTGCAAAAGCTCTTTAATTTGATGTAGTCCCAGCTGTTTATCTTTGCCTTCACTATCACTGCTTTGGGTGATGTGTCTGTAAAGATGTCTTTGATGTGCATATCACGTAGTGTTTCGCCTATATTTCCTTCTATATATTTTATGGTTTCAGGTCTTATGTCTAGTTCTTTAATCCATTTTGAGTTGATTTTTGTGTATGGTGTGAGGTGGTGGTCAAGCTTCATTCTTTTGCATGTAGCGACCCAGTTTTCCCAGCACCATTTATTGAACAAACTTTCTTTGCTCCAATGCATATTCTTTGCTCCTTTGTCAAAGATTAGTTGACCATAAATCTGTGGGTTTATTTCTGGATTTTCTATTCGATTCCATTGGTCTGTATGTCTGTTCTTGTTCCAATACCATGCAGTTTTGATGATTATGGCTTTGTAGTATAGTTTGAAGTCTGGGAGTCTGATGCCTCCATTCCCTTCTTTTTTTTTCAGGAGAGCTTTGGCTATTCGGGGTTTTTGGTGATTCCATATGAATTTCATCAATAATTGTTCTATTTCTTTGAAGAATGACATTGAAATTTTGATTGGAATAGCATTGAATCTGTATATTGCTTTTGGTAGGATGGCCATTTTAATAATGTTTATTCTTCCAATCCATGAGCAGGGGATGTCTCTCCATTTCTTTGTGTCTTCTTCTATTTCTTTTAACAGTGTTTTATAGTTTTCTTTGTATAGGTCCTTTACCTCTTTTGTTAGATTTATTCCCAAATATTTGATTTTTTTTGTTTCAATAACAAAAGGGATGGTCTTTTTGATTTCTTCTTCTTCAGATTTATTGTTTGTGTATAGGAAGGCTACTGACTTTTGCGTGTTGATTTTGTATCCTGCCACTTTACTGAACTGATTGATGAGTTGAATTAGCTTTTCTGTGGAGTTTTTGGGGTTCTCTATGTATAATATCATATCATCTGCAAATAGTGATAGTTTGACTTCTTCTTTTCCTATTTGGATTCCTTGGATGTCTTTCTCTTGTCTTATTGCCCTGGCTAGGACTTCCAGTATTATATTGAAAAGCAATGGTGAGAGTGGACATCCTTGTCTTGTTCCAGATCTTAATGGAATTGCTTTCAGCTTTTCACCATTGAGAATGATACTGGCTGTTGGCTTGTCATAGATGGCCTTTATGATGTTGAGGTATGTTCCTTGTATCCCCAGAATTTCAAGGGCTTTTATCATGAATGGGTGTTGCACTTTGTCGAAAGCTTTCTCAGCATCTATTGATATTATCATATGGTTTTTATATTTCTTTTTGTTGATGTGTTGGATAACGTTGATTGATTTTCGGATGTTAAACCATCCTTGTGCCCCTGGAATGAATCCAACTTGGTCGTGGTGAATTATCTTATGGATACATTGTTGGATTCTGATAGCTAAAATTTTATTGAGGATTTTTGCATCAGTGTTCATTAGGGAGATTGGCCTGTAGTTTTCCTTTTTTGTGTTGTCCTTGTTCGGTTTTGGTATTAGTGTAATGTTGGCTTCATAAAACGTGTTTGGTATTGTCCCTTCCTTCTCAATTTTTTGGAAGAGTTTGTGAAGGATAGGCACTAATTCGTCTCTGAATGTTTGGTAGAATTCATTTGTAAATCCATCAGGTCCTGGGCTTTTGTTTTTGGGGAGGTTTTTGATTACCATTTCAATTTCGCTAATTGTAATTGGTCTGTTTAGGTGTTCTATTTCTTCTTTATCTAGCTTTGGGTGATTGTAGAGTTGTAGGAATTTGTCCATCTCCTCTAGATTGTTAAACTTGTTTCCATATAACTGTTCATAGTAGTTACTGATTATTCTTTTGATTTCTGCTGTGTCCGTTGTGATTTCTCCTCTTTCATTGATGATCCTGTTTATTTGTGCTTTCTCCCTTTTTTCCTTTGTGAGCCTGGCTAGGAGTTACTACATATTCTTGATGCTCACTTTTCACTCCAAAAATTGGTTCCATTCACTCTTTCATCTCTTCTAGCTTCTGAGCCTCCTGGGTAGGCTCTGGCAACTTGGCAACACAGGTGACCATCACCCACGCCTGTGTCCACTTGTGAGCCCTAAGATCATGAATCTGGAGAGAACCCCCTGGTGAATGTTCGATAATGGTGCAAGAAGAGAGAAGACTTCTGTGTAAGTTGTGATGCAAGTAAAAGACAGAACATTCGGGAAGAAAGAAAAAAACCCAGGAAGAAAAATGGGAGCATTTCCTCGTCAGGAAAATGACATGCATTTTATATGTACTTGTGCAGCATGTAAATATAGGACATACATATATTTATAAAACATTCATATAAAATACAAATCATATATATGTATAGATTATCTGTGTATAATATTTTAGAATAAAAGTCACATATTTATCAAAAATAAAATGTCCTCCAAATTATATAATTTTACACACACATATGTATACCCACACACACACCCCCTAACCCTTTGACTGAGAAAATCTGGCCTCCGTTTGTGTATTAATATAGGACATGACTAGATGAAGCATATAAATTTGAAATGTAGAGCCTGATAAATTTTTACATATTTATACATCTACTGTAACTATCACTTGGGTCAAGATGTAGAACAATTTTATCACCTTACTTAGAAATAACCAAAACATTTTGCTTAGCATAAGTCAGAAGGAGAAAGATAAATACCAGATGACGTCACGTGTAGAACACAGAGCAACCGGACAAAGGGTCAGACGGAGTCAAAGCGAAAAACTAGCTCGCAAAAGCCGACTAGGAACTGAGGCATTCAGAGGGGGAGGGATGGGGGACAGGCGAGGACAAGGTGGGGATCGGGGAGCACAATGGACACGGGGTGCACTATCAGTGGGAGTGACAGGGTCACATCATTGGACAGGGCAGGTCCTACCCTGTCAAAATACAGACAACAGTGTGAATCAAGATGAACTGTTACAAGATAATTTATAAACAAACAACTAAAATATTCACTAAAATAGAAAAATTTCAAAATCTTATCATTACATATATTTGTTAAAGGCAGGACTATTCCTGTGAACCCACACTTTACAGGATGCTAGGAGCCATCGGGAGTTTACTGTGGGGATGTCAGATGTTTAAAAGTTAGAAATTCAGGGCCTCCCCGGTGGCGCAGCGGTTGAGCGCTGGGTTGCGAAGCTGCCCGCGGCCTCTGCAGCGCCGGTTCGATCCCCGGCTGCTCCCCGGCCACCGGAGGAGGGTCCCACATGGCGCGCAGACCTCTCCTGCCGCCCGCTGCTCCCCTCAGCAGTGTACTTCGGTCCTTCTGCCTGCTCTGCTCCCCGCTCTGGCTCTGGTGAATTCTCTCACCCTCCCGCACTTCTGACTGTACCCAGTGCATGTATAAACAAAAAACAAATAAATAAAATAAAAACATGCCTCTATAAAAAAATAAAATAAAAGTTAGAAATTCAGCTTCTGTTAGCAGAATGTTCTAAGCTGCTCTCTCTAGATCCTTCCTCCCCTTGACTGGGAGGAGCCATGAAGAAAGGCAGGATTCTCTTAGGGTTGGTGGGACTGAAGGAGTTTCCTACCTTATTCCTTCCAGTTGGCATCCTCACGCCTCTCCTGCCCCCAATCCTGTTCATGTTACAATAAGGACTTGTGTATCCCAAGAATTGTTAAGAAAACATCACAATCAATGAGTCAGTCTGGGTAAACACAACTGGCGGACATCAACAGAGAGGGACACGGGAGAGGCCAACTTCCCTGGGCTCTACATGCAGCCCATTCAACTGGACATTCAGATGTCGGTCAAGGGTAGATGGTTTCCTAGCTCATCGGACTATGTAATACATTCAGATCAAGTCTTTTGACATAAGGAACTTGGCCCGCTTAACAATAGTTTCCAGGGCACGTTTCATGTCTCTGTTTCTCAGGCTGTAGATGAAGGGGTTCAGCATGGGGGTGACTATCATATACATCACAGACGCAATTATGTTTTTATCACTGGAGGTGGATGATGAGAAAAAATAAACTTCTGCAGCGGTCCCATAGTATAAAGACACAACAAGCAGATGGGAGCCACAGGTAGAAAGGACTTTGAAGAATTTCTTAGCAGAGGGTTCTCTTAGCACCATGGACCAAATCCGGACATAGGAGCCGAAGATGCCACTCAAAGACAGAATGACAAGTATTCCCCCCTCAATGAGGACCACCAACTCATTGAGTGACACGTCTGAGCAGCTCATCCTCAGGAGTGTAGTGAGGTCACAGAATAAGTGGGGGATGGTATTGTTAGCACAGAAGGACAGTCAGGCCAAGAGCAGAGTGTGCAACAGAGAATGGAGACAGCAGAAGAGCCAGGACCCAGCTACTAGGGAAACACACAGCTCCTGCCTCATAATGGTGGTGTAGTGGAGGGGCTGACAGATGGCCACGTACCTGTCATAGGCCATCACTGCAAGAAGGAGACTGTCAAGACAAAAAAACACTATGAAAAAGTACATCTGAACTATGCATCCAGCATAGGGGATGGACTTGTGATTAGTGTGCATGTTGGACAGCATCTTAGGGACAGTGACAGATGAGAAGGAGACGTCAGTGAAGGCCAAGTGGCTGAGGAAGAAGTACATGGGGGTGTGGAGGCGCGAGTCCAGCCTGATGAGCAGGATGATGAGCAGGTTCCCCAGCACCGTGGTCAGGTACATGCCCAGGAAAAGGGCAAAACACAGGCTCCTTTTCTCTGGACGGATGGGGAGCCCCAGGAGGAGGAACTCAGACACGCTGCTCTGGTTCTCCCACCTCAGGCTGCTCATGTCTCTGCCGGGGATGACGGAAAGAAGGGGAGGTAGGAAGTATAGAATTAGCCACAAGGACACTGCAATATCCTTTTTACCTGAAGGCATGAGTTTTGAACCATGATCTGTTTACTGCTCACACCTGTGGTTGTGTGACTCCCAGTCTGTCACAGCGGGCTCTGAGGGTACGTAAGACCTCATGATACCCTACAAAGTTTCTTTCCACAGAACCAGAGGGCATTTTTCTCTATTCCACAAATATGTCTTGAACAACTGCCTTGGCCCAGGCTCCTCACAAGGCACTGAGTCCGTAACAGCAAGCAGGAAATGCAGCCTCTACCTTCAAGGAGTTTCCATCTTTCTATCATTGCAGGTCACATGACAGTACCTGGCACGCATGGCAAAGTCATGAGATGGGCAGCAGGAGAGAATCCATAACTTCCTCTTGAAGAGACCTGACACTCTCTAAATTGGAAAAGAATACCTGGTGATTTCTCACAAGCTAGAGTGAAACTGGCAGTATCGTAACTGATCTGAGATATTGCTGATTTCCTTTTAACAGAAGTCCATCCAGCTTCCCAAATCAACACTATTAATATTGTTAAATATTTATCTTAAACATAGAGCATGCCAGACTCTACGCTATGGTTTCATGCACTTTTTACCTAAATCCTAGGCATAGCCCTAATAAATCAATAGTATAAATCCTATTTTAACAATGAGGAATAAAATATACTTTATCTAAAGATGCAGAGATACATGAATAATTAGCAAAAAAGACCAAATCACAATATCTGTCTCTGGCCAGACTCCACCATTTAACCCTCTACATACATGTCACACCCCCAGTAGTTAGAATAAGGGGACATAAGTATGACATCATTTGTCATTCCTTTGTCAAGAGTTATCAAACATTACTGGTGTATCACACAACTAACAAAATGATTTCACACACTTTAATTAATGTATATCTAGAGATTATATGATACATAAAGTAGTTATAACCTTCACTGGATGATATATAAAGTAGTCCTAATTTCATAGATGGGAAAAAACTGAGGACAAAGATATAATGACCAATGAAGTCTCTCAGTTTTCTGATGGTGGATTCCAGACGCACCCTTCCTTTGGCAGTGAGGTTAGAGTTAGGATTAGACACACACATGCGCGCGCGCACACACACACACAGACACTGAGGAGGGATCTGCACTGACTCTCAATCAAGCAGGAGCAGGACAATGAGGCCCACTCAGCGACCATGAACTTGCTGAGGGCTCTGATTGTCTTGGTTCATGGCCACCGAGGAGACAGTTTCTGGACCCCATGTGGAGATCTGGCTGCCCACTCATGTGAGCTGTGTCAGCCTCACTGAGAAGCCAGGAAACAAGCAGGACCAACTGGACTGACTGGGACCTTGACCGGGGCAGAGCTGTGAGGAAGGCACTGGGTCCTGAGCCCTGGATGGATCAGGCTGTGTGCTCCAGTGTGTGAGGGTGTGCAGGGGCCCCTGTTCTTAGGTGTCTACTCACCCTGCCCCAGACAGCAGCTAAGTGGGGGTCTCCATCACACTGGCACTGGCTTGGGGAAAGAGAATAAAACTCCTCCTCTCTTCTGAGCCCCAATCATGAGCCAGGCGAGGTCCTAGGTGGTCTGTTTCATTGGCCCATTGTTTCTCAGAACACCGATTATGTGGGAGTAGTTACCCTCCGTTCCCAGGGAGGGATCTGAATATAAAGGCAAAAATATGTAAGGACAAGCAAGGATTGGGCCCCAGTGGGACCTGCTGCAGGCATTGAGGTCCCATCCATTAGTATGTGACACCTGCCCTGTGTGGGAGACCGAGTGACCCTCTCAATGCAGAGCATGACCACTGTGAACGGCCACAAGGGGTCAGTGAGGATGGCACGTGGGCCCCATGCCATGGGTGGTGCCCCACAGAAACACTGCCTATGATGAAAACATCAAAACACAACACACACACTAAACCTTGGGTGAATGCATATGTCAGTTTTGTCATAAACAAAAAGCCACATCACACCTACTGCTTGACTCTATAACAATTTCAGATCCTCCATCCCCTGCTGCTCATGGATAAAGGCAGGATCCCTGCTCCAGGGTGGGGAGCACATCTTTTCTCTTTACACTCTGCAGTCTCTTTCCTTACCTGTGCTGAGTAGCCAGAGATGAACATGGGGGAGTCATGCAGCAGGGAGGGCAGATACTGGAAACCAAAGGACTGGCTAAGAGACTGCAGGTGACACCCAGCAGTGGTGCCCACTTGCCTATTGGGGACCCAGTAGGTGCTTGAGCTCTGGGCCGAAGAGAGGAAAAGAATCACCTCGTGTCATTTACCCCTCTCTGTCTCTTGTGTCCGACTCTCTGTCTCTTCCTATCGTCTTTTCAATCTCTGTCTCTCAGTTTATGTATGTATAAATATGTATGTACTTACAAAATTCTGGCAGGAGATATATTTATATCTACATTACAAGCAAAGACCCATAAGGAATCCATAGGAAGAAATATATATTTTTTTCTCTTAGAATTTACACCACACTCTGACCTGCCATTCTTGCTACGTCAATGACCTTCTAATTCAGTATCTGTTATGGACACCAGGCAAAAAGTATGAAGCAAATCTCTGCGAGTCCACGACCTCCTGACTTTTCCGTGTCTGTCCTTGTACATCAGAGCAATAGCCAGGAGGATGCTATTTTATAAACCACGAGAGGACAAAGAAATGGTCCCTAAACTCTTGGTGAAAAAATGGCAGGAATTAATTGCCTGTAATTCCTCTCAGACCTTGGGGAGAAGCCTGTGCAGAGGCCAAAGAGACTAAGCTGGGGAACCACCTGGGATGGTGTCTTGGCTACAGGGACACTCTGGGTTCCCCCTAAGCAGGAAATGCAGCCTCTACCTTCAAGGAGTTTCCATCTTTCTATCATTGCAGGTCACATGACAGTAACTGGCTCGCATGGCAAGGTCATGAGCTGGGCAGCAGGAGAGAATCCACAATTTCCTCTTAAAGAGACTGAAACTCTCTAAATTGAGATAGAATAGATTTCTCACAAGCTAGAGTGAAATTGGCAGGGCCATAACTGATCAGACATTTTGCTATTCCCTGTCAACAAAAGCCCATCCAGGATTTTAAACAAACTCTAAAAATATTGTCAAATCTTTGTCTTTAACCTACAGCATGCCAGATCTACGCCTATGGTTTGATATGCACTCTCTACCAAATCCTAGGCATAGCCCTATAAATCAATAGCATAAACCCCACTTTCACTATGGGGAACAAAATATACACTATCTAAATGTGCAAATATACATCAATAACCAGCAAAAAAGGGCCAAATAACAATATATCTCTAGGGACAGAATCTATCATTAATCTCTCTGCAAACATCTCAATCCCCCAGTAGTTAGAATAAATATGAATATAAATTAAAGATTATATGATATGTAAGGTAATTATGCCCTTCATTTCATAGATGGGAAAACACTCAAGACAAAGATATAAAGACCAATGAGGTCTCTCAGTTCTCTGATGGTGGATTCCAGACGCACCCTTCCTTTGGCAGTGAGGTTAGAGTTAATTAGACACACGCGCACACACACACACACACACACTGATGAGGGACCCTCACTAACTCTCAGTCAAGCAGGGAGCAGGACAGTAAGGCCCACTCAGGGACCATGAACTTGCTGAGGGCTCTGCTTATCTTGGCTCACGGGCACTGAGAGGACAGTGTCGGGACCCCCATGTGGAGGTCTGGCTGCCCATTCATGTGAGATGTGTCAGCCTCACTGAGAAACAGAGGAAACAAGCAGGAATCAACTGGACTGATTGGCACCTTGATTGGAGCAGGGCTTGTGAGCAAGGGTCTGGGTTCTAGCCCTGGATGGATCAGGCCATGTGCACAGTGTGTGAGGGTGAGCAGGGGCCCCTGATCTTAGACTTCTACTCGCCCTGCCCCAGGCAGCAGCAAAGTGGGGGTCTCCATCACACTGGCACTGGTTTGGGGAAAGAGAATAAAAATCCTCCTCTCTTCTGAACACCAATCATGAGCCAGGCGAGGTCCTGGGTAGTCTGTTTGCATTGGTCATTACTCCTCATGTCAGCACTGTATGTGGGAGTAGTTACCCTCTTTTTCCAGATGGGATCTGAATGTCAGAGAGCAAACTTAAGGGCTAGATGAGGACTGCACCGCAATGGACATGCTGCAGGCACTGTGGTCCCATCCATTAGCATGTGACACCTGCCCAGTGGGGTGACCTGAGTGACCCTCTCAATGCAGAGCATGACCACTGTGAATGGCCACTAAGGGGTCAGTGAAGAATGCACGTGAGTCCCATGTAGTAGACGGTACCCCACAAAAACACTGCAGAAATGAAAACATCAAAACAACCACACACGAAACCTTGGAGTGACATGCATATGTCAGTTTTGTCATAAACAAAAAGCCACATCACACCTACTACTTGACTCTGTAACAATTTCAGATCCTTCCCCTGCTGCTCATGGATAAAGGCAAGATTCCTGCTCCAGAGTGGGCACCACATGTCTCTTTTTACACTCTGCAATCTCTTTACTTACCTGTGATTTAGCCAGAGATAAATATGTGGGAGCTATGCAGGAGGGAGGGCAGATAATTGAAATCAAATACTGATTAAGAGAATGAAGCTCATACCCAGCAGTGGTGCCCACTTGCCTTATGGAGACCCAGTAGGTGCTTGAGCTCTGGGCCAAAGAGAGGAAAAAAATCACCTCGTGTCATTTACCCCTCTCTGTCTCTTGTGTCCCTCTCTCTGTCTCTTCCTTACCATCTTTTCAATCTCTGTCTCAGCCTATGTATGTATATATATGTAGGTACATACAAAATTCTGGTAGGAGACATATTTTATCTACATTACAAGCAAAGACCCGTAAGGAATCCATAGGAAGAAACATATTTTTTTTCCTCTAAGTATAAAAGCACATTCTGACCTGCCATTCTTGCTACGTCAATGACCTTCTAATT